CTGGTTTTCCTTAGATAGAAAACTTTGAATCAATTTGACTGGATGATTATGTGAACTGTAAAGTGCCTTGAGATGACTTGTGTTGTGAATTGGCGCTACACTGCAAAAACGATCTAGAAATAAGTAAAGATTTCTTAAATTAAGTGTATTTACCCTTAATTTGAGTAGGTAAGTAAGAGAATTTGCCAATGGAATGAGTATTTTTATCTAAAAATAAGACAAATAAAATTCACTTGAAATAAGACAATGCAATTGTTTTTTCTTATTTCAAACGTAAATTATCCTGTTCCATTGGCAAAGTGTCTCACTTACCTCCTCAATTCAAGAAAAAATGCACTTATTTGAAGAAAGAATTACTTATTAAGATACATTTTTTTTTTGCAGTGTATAGAAATAGACTGAATACAATTAAATTGAATTTATCTTCACCCGTTTTCCCATCGACTCTTAGCAGCTTTTCTTTCTCTGTTGAAGAAAAGCCTCTGGACATTATACCTCCACCACCATGTTTCCCCAAGGGAAACGTAGTTTTTCCACTTTTTTCAGTTTTGCAGAAAAAAATCTGTTATGCATTAACGCCAAAATGATGAATTTTGCTTCTAAACATTTATACCTAGATTAAAGCAAGAGATGGACTCTTTTCTTAAAGTTCTTAAAAGCACCATCCAAAAGATTTTTTTTATAAAGGTTTGTACCATGGCAAGACTATTGCTAATTACTGTTCCTTTTATTGTTATTTGTCTAGCTGAACTGATGGAAAACATGGATAAGAAGTCAGCATGGGATCGCTTCTACTCTGAGACCAGCAGCAGGAATCCCAACTTTAAAAACTTTGAGTGGTTCTTCGGTTTCGATGCTGTGCGGGACTTCATCATGCCCCTTTTACAGACTGCATCGCTTCCACCCTCTCCTCTCCAGGTCCTGGATATGGGTTGTGGCACGTCTGCATTAGGCCCCTGCATCTACAGAGACTCGGTTCTGCCTGTTCGAGTCACTTGTGCCGACATCTCCCCTGTTGCTGTGCAGCTGATGCGAGAGCACCTTCAGGCAAAATCCATCAAGCCGCTAAATGTTTCTTCTCACATTGAGTTTTTAGAACTGGACTGCACACAGCTTGACCAACACTTTGCTGCCAATAGTCTGGATCTTATTGTTGACAAGGGCACCATAGATGCTTTGCTCAGGTCCAAGGAAGGAACAGAAAAGGCTGCTTTGGTGTTGAAACAGTGTCTCAGGGTTTTGCGGAGCTCAGGATCTCTGCTTCAGTTTTCGGATGAGGATCCTGATGCCAGACTTGTGTGGTTAGAAACAGCTATAGGGGATCAGGGGCTGGTGGCTGCAGATGTTGGGGTGCAGGAGGTTGGGGTGTTAAGGGGTGTGTGCTACTACTGTTACGAAGTAACCCCTCAGAATGATGTAAATAAATAAATGTTAAGTCATATGTATCTGCTTGCCTCATGTTTACATCAAACGCACAAAGACAGATATATTAGCTGTAACATTCTAAATAATGATATGTTCCCAATCTGACTGTTACTCTATTATTGCTGAACATCTCCTGCCATCTAGTGGCCTACTTGCATTTAAACATGAGCAGGAAACTCCCACAAACACAGTGTCTATCTGGTCAGATAATACAACTTTTGTAGTAACAAAGTTTTAGATTAAATTGTTTGGTTTTAATGATTTGTTATATAATAATACAAAAGATAATAATAAATTGAAAGTTTGAATTAAATTCTATTCAGTTTATTTCTATAGCACCAATTCACAACACATGTCATCTCAAGGCACTTTACAGTTCACCAGATCATACAGTCCAGTTGATTCGAAGTTTTTTATCTAAGGAAAACCAGTTGATTGCATCGACTTATTGACTAGAATGCAATCCCTCACACTAAGCATGCTTGTGGCGACAGTGGAGAGGAAAAACTCCCTTTTAACAGGAAGAAACCTCCAGCAGAACCAGGCTCAGTGTG